ACGACAATTCTTTTAAATTAATTATTTTAAAAAATAAATAGTCGATTATACTTGAAATGGATTAGTTATTTAAATACTGTCCAATCAAGTTTTGCCACCTGACCCCGTTGCCGGTTCAATCAGAATGTACTAGAATTAAAGGAGACGTGCATGTCTCTCGTTCGACCAGACTTACGTGAATATTCAATTAATATATATATTTAGTTGTACTTACAGAAAAATCAGGTATATAATTCAAGTAAGAAAGTATATTTTATAGTTGATAGCTGACTTTTTTTATTTTTAAAGTTTATAGATAGGTTATATTGTATGTTATGTTAGCATGAAAGCTGTAGCAGATGTATATATTCTCTGGATTTATTTGGAATAATGATAAGTTATTGCATGCCATTTTGTTTGAGATTGAGACTTTATAAATCATTCCTTAAAATTAATTTTTACTTTAAAGTAGTTAAATTGGCATAAAGAGATCATATTTAAATAAATTACTTTTCATTCAAAGTTTTTAAATAATTATAATTATTTTTAGTAAGTAAATATAAAAATGAAAATCATATTATACATTTTTTGGGAAAATTATCTGGTAATACCAATTGTTTAATTAATGAATGACTGGTTTGATTGATTATAATGAAGAGACCAATTGAATTTAATCAAATTTAATGTGTAATATTTGGCTGCAATAAAAAAAATATGACATACAAATAAATTAGCTTTTTTAAGAGTAAAAAGTAATTTTTTTGTTGACACTTCTGAAGACATAGATATCATCAGAAGCAATTTAATTAGCATGTAATAAATGTTACTCAGAAGCATCTTTTACATCTTAAACTGTTTTTTTATTTTGTGAAATATAACCTATGGCAGGAGTGGCGAACTCTCCAGCCTGTGTGCCATATAGTAAGCATACTTAGCTTTAAAGATGTTTATGTATGCCAAAGTTTTAGACTTCAAATATGCTTTAATTAGGATAAATGCAAAAAAGCTGATTGAAAATGACAGATAGTAAATTGAAATCATATGATAATCATCTGGCTCATAACTTATGTGCCACTTTCAGCACACATATCATAGGTTTGCCAACTCTAACCTATGGTATGTATGTATTAGTTTGTTTTTTAAGCTTGATGCATTATGTTTTGAAGATAATTAATGTTTATTCATTTTATAAGTAATTAAAAAACTATATGAAATGTTACTTAAAATATGGATTGTTGAATATTTTAATAATTATAATTGCAATAAAAATGATCGGTTAAAGTCCAGATGCGTGTACTGTCATGGCAGCTCATCTCTGATTCCAGCAAACAAAAGAAAGGAAACAGTGGGGACGCACGTTCTAACCTAACCTAACCTATTCTAATAAATTACCATAATTATTACCAACCAAATTATTAGAATAGGTTAGGTTAGAATGTGTGTCCCCACTGTTTGCTGAAATCAGANACTTCAACAAAAATTCCAAATGTGGTGAAGGCCAAAAACATTTTGGAATTTTCATTGAAGTTCTGTTACTGGATAAAAGGTTTTGTTTGTATTTAATTAAATACTCCAGTGATTTGTGAAGTTACAATAAGTAGAACACATTTAAACAATAACAAAGCCCAATTTTCTGATATCCAATATCTACAAGCTGGATTTTCCCAAGTAGATGACTTGTAGGTATTTGGATAAATAGAATAGTAGAATATTTATATTATATTTTTGTCTACTTTGGACGTTGTTATGAACTAGGACTTGTTTTATTGAGGAAAGAGAGAAACACAATTTCCAATTAAAATATATTAATATTATAAGAATAGTAGAACTTTCTCAAGGGCATTATTAAAATTTGCTAGGTTTTTGTAAGTTTTCTAATTTTCAAAAGTAGTTAGTAAATGATGAATCATTCATTGGGGTAGGTTGTCTTCAAATTCTAATGTTAGAACAAAGTATGGAACAAAAAACAAAATAATAATGAAACCCTTAAATTTTACATATTCTCAATTTAGATGACATTAGTTTTGAGGTATTTATACATTGTATGTTTAGTTATTGCAATAATTTATTTTAAAAAATAAGAATCACCCAAAGCAATATTTCATAATCTGATGCTGCTAACAAAATAAAGACAAAGAAAGAACCATTACAGAAAACTAAATTACACATCAAAATGCGTTAGCCACTTTTTAATGTTTTATTTCAGCAAGTGTGTGAAATAGGATACTTGCATTGTGTCCATCAACCAGGCTCTGCATTTTTTATGTAAATCACATCATTGGATGGAGATCATGGGCTAATTCTACCCCATTTATAGCCAACTACAAGCTTTCTGCAGTTACTTCTATCCTGTCTAATTCTACAAATTGACTCCTCCTGCTCTTGATGTCATTCCTGTATGAAGTTGGCTACATTGGTGGCTATGGCTCTATTCATCAGATTCTGTTATTGCGGCACCTTTTAAGAAAAGTTTTTGTGCTAAGTATTTTAGCCGAAAACAAAAGTCAGATTTTAAAAATGGTGTTTAAAAAATTAATATGCTGAAATATGTAATATATATATATATTTAGCGCAAGTTCATGCATAAAGATTTAGCTTAAAAACAGGCATTCTACCTAGTAAAAAAAACTTAGCATTTCGTTGACAACTATGTACAGTATTGTCAACAAATATGAACACAATTGGGTTAAGCTTAAATATGGCAACGATTTCACAAATAATTTGCTCTTTAAAATCAAGCTATATAATCTAAAATTCTAATTTGATCTTCATAAAATGATAAAAATGCATTATTAATTACTAAACATTTTTAATAACTGAAAATAAAATAAAATTTTATTCAATAATTTAAATAAATCTTTTGTTGTTACAGCTATTTTATCATCTATATTAATATATATTTCAAGTTTAAATTAGAATCAGAATTGATATTAATATCATAACATAATGCCAAATTGTAAGATGATAAACTATTATAGAAAATTACATCACCTCTTATAAACCTGTTTAAATGAAACTATTGGTTGTTTCATTTGAAAAATTTTACATATTTGATTTGAAAGATTTTGCATATGTTATGTAAAATTTGGGTTAAGTTTGACTTAAGTATGAAGCTAATTCTTCATCACAATTTGCAATTTAAAACTACATCTGACAACAAAAATTTTTAATTCTTAACTGTGAAAATACAGAATTAGATTCTTCCATTTTCAAATGATCTCTTATTTAGTAGTATCAATAGAAATAAGTTTTATTATTTACACTCAACATTTCCAAAATTTATAAAATATCTGAATATTTAAATTTTTTATTAATGTAAATTAGAAAAAATTTACAAAAAATTAATAACAAATGTCTTGCTTAAACATTGTTATTAAGTAAATAAAATTAAATGAACTAATTAATGGTTTATGCTTTTGTGGATTTTTAAAAAATATTACAATATGATTGTCATCTTGAAATATAGCTTAAAAGAATAATCCAAAATACATCCTTGTTATATTGCTCATTCATATATATCATGCTTTTTTTTGAGTTTTCTACATATAAAAGCACCTCAGCCAATAATTTTTTTAAAAATCAGTTGCCATTGAATTCTAATGGCAAAAAAATAATACTTTATTTCACTCATTGATCTTGAAACTACCATTGTATGAAATACGACCAACAAAAAAAGCAAGTTGGCATGGAGATTGAAATAAACAAAACAGATGGATAGATATATTGGTTATATTGCACCATCTGATATACTACTAACTTGGTTTGTCTCCCAACATGTACGATATAATGAGAGACTATTGTAATATAATTATCCTAAATTAAAATTTGGCAAATTTATTTGTTTAATCATAAAGATCAAATTAATTTTATCCTGAACTGTTTTTACATCAAATATTTAAAATATATGTAAATTTAAATCTAAGAACAACAAATGCTGATATACAGTATTTCAAAAAACATTTCCCATACTTGCAATGCTAAGTGATAACTTCTGAATAACTTATTCAAATTAACTCATTTACATAATGAAAACAAAAATATAAAGCAGAAAACTGTATGTAATCACTATATTAAAAACACTATTCTAACACCCATAAATTTAGAAAGGATTACTTTTTTAATTTACAAATGTAGATTCCTATGTCAAAGAATCTAACTGACTGTAGGTAATTTAACTCTAAAACTAAAGACAATTTTGCATATCAGTGATCAGCAGTCTCAGCTGAACTCGAAGTGTGGCCATGTTCTCTGGACTTGTTCCTCAAAAATAAAGACATTTATAAAGCCCTTGTGGACTTTATATATAAGATTAAAATTCTCAGATAACAGTGTGCCTGGGGATCTCCTTCATGTAGTAGTCAATGGTACCTCTGCTGTTTGGTTAAGTGGTTACTTTGTTCAGTGGTCTCTGTGGCATCAATTACGGTAGGATTTATTAATTCTTGGGATTGATCTGTTGTATACTGTTCTTCTCATTACATATTTTTACGGGCTTAACTCCATGTCTATTAAGCCATTTGTATGGTTCTGTAAGTTGTCACGTGTTCCTGAATATTTTGTATATACTCATTTGTCGTATTGCTAGATATCTGATTAGCAGCACTGATTGTTGTTTGGGTTCATATATATGGTCCCATCAGCCCCATGCGATCCCCCAACCACTTTTCCTCCTTTCTTCTTTCCTTCATTCCTTTCCTTCCCTCTTCTTCCTTTCCCCCTCTCCTTCTCCCCTCTCTTCCCTCCTTTTACTTTCCGGGCTATGCTGAAAAGCGAGGCCGTCAATACTGTAACTGTATGTTTAAAGTGTAGACTGCAAAAACAGATTGTGAACCTTATATACAGTATGTGATCAAATTTATTATGGTACCCAGCATTAACTGAAGATATTTTATTCAATTCCTTTTCCAATAAACTGGATGAAGACATTAAGAGAGAGGTTCTATATATCAACACACTAATAGCTATATGCTAATATGCTAGTGGCTGGAATGCATCATTAGGGATAATAATATATGGAACACTTATATTTATGTAAAACTCAAAAATACATTTTAGTTCCAGCAGGTAATTTGTACTTCTAAAAATGAAATCTTATGTTGTTCAGCTTTGCGTTCAACAGTGAGCTTAATTTTTTTTTTCATTAAATGTTCATTTCCCTTACGGGGATCAGAGTCATCCTTGTCCCACATCTGTATTACAAGGAGAACGGTTCTTTTTATTATATGTGACATTTAGAATTACATACAATTATTTTAATCAAACAAATAAGTATAACATAATAATTAGAAAACATTGATTTGTCTAACTATATACAAACTTCCGACCACTTGTCGGAAAATAGGCATGGAGAGAAACTTACACTCCTGCCTTTACATAAGAAGTTTTTTCACATAGTTAATGAGGTCGTTTTTAATTTCCCGGTTCCTGATAAGAGTATAGAGTTCAGGCTCTGCCGCAGAATACTGTTAGTAGAGGAGGAACAGTTGGTCTTTCAATTACATATTTCCCGCATTTCATGAAAAGGTGGTCCAGGGTCTGGACTTCCTCACTGCACTCGCAGTGTGCCTTGTCTTTTTTACCAATTCTTTTAAGGTATTCCCCTGTATTGCAGTGGCCAGTATAGATTTGGCTGCTTATATAGTTAATGGGTAGTCACTTGAGGTCGGTCAGCCTTTCGTATAGGTTTGGCAGGAGCCAAAACATGTGCCTGCCTTTTGTCAAGTGTGACCAACGGTCTTGCCAAAAGTCTATTGTTTCTTGTCTTATTTTATGCCTAATGCCCGATATTGGAATTTTATTATATGAGACATCGTTTAATAGTGTGGCCTATTTAGCAAGGGAGTCTGCTTGTTCGTTTCCTTGGTTGCCAGCATGGGCTTTTACCCATTTGAATTGTATATCCATATTGTACCTATTAATTTTTGTTTTAATGTTCAATGCCACAATGTTTGTATCCCTGTATTGTGATAGTGTGCTGATAGCTGCTCTGCTATCTGTGCACGTCAGTATGGGGTCTTTCAGTCCTGAATCTACTATCCAATTTATGGCCCTTTCAATTGCGTATAGCTCTGCTTGGTATACAGAGCAATTGTCACCAAGTCCATACATCTCTTGTCTTATTGTATCTCCATTTTTAGCAGCAACGAAGGCCGCACCAACTTTGCCCTCAATCTTAGAGCTGTCTGTATAGATATGGATTGATCTGTTGTTTTTATCGTCCTCTATTGTAATCCTGATAGCCCTTCTTTGGTGTGGAGCAGGAAGTGTTTCCGGCTTAGGCTTTTGTTCATAATCACTGTTCGTAAGCATGCCATCAAAGAGCTTAATATTGAATCCCTGTCTGCACTGGTGAAGGATGGCTTTCTCTCTAAGAATTAAGTCAATTGGGGGAGTCCCCGCAATAACTAAAAGGGCGTCCGTAGACGTAGTCCTATAGGCAAGGGTTAGCCTTAGGAGGGCTCACCTTTGTGCACTATTCAGCTTTCTTCTTATCACTGCCTTGTTAGCTGCTTGATACCAAGCTGTAGCTCCATAAGTCACTCTGGGCAGGAAAGCTCCTTTATAGATGAGCTCCAGGGCCTCTTTGCCCAGGCCCCAAGACACCTTGGCCACCCTAGCGAGGTTGTTAAATGTTTTCGAGCAGTTTTCTTTTATAGATGTAGCATGGGGAAGACACGTTAACCTATTATCTAGAGTAATCCCTAGATATTTCAGTTGATTTTCTACTTGTATGCTCTTGCCGTTCATTTTAATCACTGATTTTCTTCTATACAAGCTTGGTGTTGATCCTTTGGAGAATATGATTGCCTTTGTTTTCTTTGGGTTGAAGGCCAGTTTGATTTGCCTTCCCAAGTCCCAAATTTTTCCAAGCACTTGTTCACTGGTGGTTTCAATTTGTCTCCTGGAGTTCGCCCCGAATATGACAATCATGTTGTCTGCATATGCAAATTCAACTATATCTGGGCCTTTGTCCACCCGGAGAAATTTATTATAAATTAGATTCCAGAAGAGGGGACCGGAATTTGATCCTTGTGGGCACCCCCTATTTATCGCTCTGCTGACTATTACCGAGTCTGCACAATAGGTGACCCTTTGTAGTCCTTTGCTATGTAATACAAATTTGCAGGGATGGATGCCTCCCTGAGGGAATAGAGCACAAAGGGCCACCATGCATGGTCGAAAGCGCCTTTTATGTCCAGGCTGACACCACAGCAGTATTTCCAGTTTGTAAGAATCCTTTCAATATTGTTGATTACTTTGTAAATAACATCTTCAGTACTTCTGCCTGGCAGAAAACCAAATTACTTTTCACACAGGTAATTACTGAGATAGGTGTGCCTGGATCCATTGACTCACGAGGTGATCTAGCACTTTGCACATCAGCGGCAGAAAGCTGATCGGCCTATAATTCAATAATTTGGTGACCTTCCAAACTGATGGGAACAAGCTGTATCTTAAACAGAGATTGTAAATTTCGGTCATGTATTCTGAATTAATCTCCCACAGCTTATGTATGATTTCTGCCACTAGCCCATCAGGCCCCGGGACCTTGCCCAGCTTTAACCGGTAAATGGTGTCCTCTATTTCTTCACTTGTGAACTTTGGGGCGGTAGCATTCGCATACTCCGTCTCCCCAAGCTTCCTGATTTCATGCTGCTGCGGGGTGTCCATCTCCTCTTCATCTGAGGGGAAGAAAGTGTCTAGGAGTTTTTTGACAGTCTGTTCAACTCCCGATGTATAGCTGTCCCCGTCCAGAACTGCCGTCAGAAATGTGGGTGTCTTTAACTTGCCAATGCTAGCTTTATACAAAAACCTCCAGGGCTTCGAGTTGTTTTGCGTACAATAATCTCTCCAGGATTGTAATTTACTTGTCTTTATTAGTTCTTTATAACTTTTGCTTTTGTCAAGATATTCTCTTTTCTTTCTAATCCTGTCCTCGCTGTTTTTGGCTCTCTGATATCTTCTGCATAGTCTGTTGTTTTGTCTTCTCATTTCCGTGAGTTCTTGGTTCCACCAAGGTACTGCTTGTTGATTCTTTCTTTTCTTGGGGATCGCCTCCTTGCAGGAGGTGAAGAGGGTTGCATGAAACTGGTTAATTGCCAGATCTGCCTCCTCTTTGTTCTTACAGTTTAATAAAACATTTGGATCCATAGCTTCCTCCAGGAGGGATTGAAAAAGTGACCAGTCCGCCCAATTGATGGCGTAGTGGTTTCCGCTGACATCCACTTAGTCATTAGGGAAGCCCAATTCTAGGAAAATGTAACTATGATCACTCAGGCTACAGGGTGGGGATACATCCCATGATCTAACTTTTTGTAAGACGTTTCCTGTGCATATTGTCAGATCTATCCAGCTTTGCCTTGACCCTGCATCAAAGGTTGGCAGTGAGTCGGGCTTATTCAGGATATATAAGTTGTTGGAGTTCACAAATTCCAGTACAGAATCTGTCCTGCTGCTGTTATCTGGGTCGCCCCAGATTTCTGAATGTGCGTTAAAGTCTCCACATATCAAAATCTTTTTACTGCTAAAACGTTTAATAATCCCATCCAGGTTATTAAGCAGTGGGTCAAGGTCATCCGTGATGGGGCAATAAGTGTTCACAAACATATAGTTACCTTCACCTGTGCCAACTTCCAAACAGGTTAGGTACTTATTACTGGTTTCATTATGGAATACGACTACAATGTTCGGATTCCTTATTACTGCCGCGGTGGATGGGCAGCAGTCCCTGTTATATATAGTACAATAAACTATATTGTACAATAAACTATATAGTACAATAAACTATATTTCTGAGGCATGCTGGTGTGCCCCTTAACCCCTTAGTTCCCATTGGAACTAAGGGGTTAACAATAAGGCTCTTGGATGAGTGCCAAATCTACGTTCTCTATGGTAGAGCATAGTGCTGAAGTGCTGCTTATTGAGTGTTGCACATTTACTTTTACAATTTTAAGAAATCTGTCCTTTGTGTGTCCTCTGTGGTTAATTGCCATAATCTGTTTTTGCCATTAGCATTTTTCTTACTTTAGAGATAAGTGGGTATTTTTTAGAGCACGCATTGTGCCCTGTATCCTTTAACTTTTCACGTTTGCAATTAATGCACTCCATTTTGTTCTTGTTTGTGCACTCTTTAAACTTATGGGTCTTGCCACACTGACTGCACGTCTCTTTGCAGTCCAGCGCGATGTGCCCAATGCAGCAGCACTGAAAGCACTGTGTGATGGAGTAGTAGTTTTCCACGCTGCAGCGGGACCAACTGAGGTTTACTTTCTTGTTGTGTAAGATTAATTTTTTGATGTCGGGACTGATTTCCAGTACCCAGTTCATCGTTGTCTTGTTCTTGTTGCCGAATTGAAACTTTATTTTGGTTTGTTGGCTGAATTCTTCTGTTGTCATTGCATTTTGTATATTATCATTTTGGTGGTATATACACTCTTGTATTTCTTCTTTTGGGATCTCTTTTCCCACTCCATAGATTACAATTTTTGGCTGTCTTTTTAGCGGTTCTTTTGTTTTAAGCCCAGTTTTCTCTTTTATGACTTCTTTTAGTCATCTTTTTTCTTGTTCTGTTCCGACTTCTATGGCTACCCCACCTCTTCTTAATTTTTGCACTGCTTGGATTCCTATTCCGACTTGCTTAGGGTTAATGTTCCTCTTTAGTCTCTCTTTTGTATCCTCTGGGTCTTCGTTTTCTTTTATTGGTTCTACGATGATTATTTCTATCTTTGGCCTTGTAGTTTTCTTCGCCACCACTTGGGCATAAGAAGGAGCAGGCTGGCTCCAGGACTCAAGGAGCTTGTTGAGTTTGTCGTGAAGACTCTCCACTGCCACTTGCACTGGGTCGCTTCTTTTTTCAGTCAGGAGGATGATTATCCTTTCGATTTGTGTGCAGACGAATTTAACATGATCGCCTGCTCCTAATTAGCATCCACTGTTGGAGAGCATGTAGTTCCTTACTTCCTCTCTAATATTTTCAACCATATTCAATCTTCCATCCACTGGCTGAGCATCCATGTCACCCTCCGATGACAGCTCATCTTTCGAGAGCAAAATGTGTGGCCACTTGGCCGTCATAGTTCTTAAAAGGACTGTTGAGCCTTAACCCCTCAGTCTCCATTGACGTATATATACGTCAAGCCTACATAGCGTTACGAAAAATGTGGTCCTTAAGGCCATTTTTGAAAAAATATTTTTTTTTTTTTCTGAATTTTTGGAATGTTTTTTAGGTCCCCAAATTTTTTCAAAATTTTTTTCCCGCGCAAAAAATTTTTATCGCGATTTTAATGAGCCTATGTGAAGGCTCGATTAAGGCTTAATTGTTTTTTAATGGGAGTTTTTTATCAATTTTATTTCATGGTTCCTAAGTTGTAGCGCACGGATTTTCATTCGGTAAAGTTATTTAAAGTTAGTTTCTGATGTCAAAAACGACCTCCAATGGTTTTTTAATTTTTTTAATTAATATATTTTTTTAAATATAAAATTAATTAATTAGGGGGGGTCGGAAATCGCAATAAAAGTTTGAATTTTTTAAAAATATTTAAAAATTTCCGTGTCGCTTATAGTCACCCTACTTTAAACCCTTGTCCTCCCGAGACGTCTATGAGAATGTCCCGGGAAATCGGACTCCAGCTGTGTTCAAGGTCACCCAGCTGTGTAAACAATGACTCATCGGTGTTAAATTTCACAGAAAGGCGAAACAAAGGAAAATAAAATTTGAAGGTTTTTCTTCAAAATTAACGCATTTCTTTCGTTTTTTTTCAGTTTTAAGTATTTTTAATGTATTTTAATATTAATCTTATATCAATTTAATTAATGATCGGAAATGAAGGGGTTAATATAAAGCGCAGGAGTTGTTTATCTTCGCCCTTACGGGCTACTAGCGGGCAGGACCGCGTGAAGGTACGATGCTTTCCCTTGGATTGTAGTTAGCGCAGAAAGAAAGCTAGACAAAGACGCAAAACACAGACTTTCGCCCAAAATAAACAGTCAAAAACTAGCTAGTAAGCACAATACACATCAATGGGGCACCCTGCCCAGTGAGCTTAATTGTAGAGTATGTGTTGTTCAATATAAACATAATGAGATTAAGATTATTTTGTTGGTGAAAATACGTAAAGTCATATCTCAAAATTGGCCAAAATGAGTTAGATACACCTTTAAATATAAACCTGGGTCTTACATGTTATGACAGAGCAGCATATCTTATGTAACATCATTTGCATTCTATGGAATGATAAACATTGGGTGTTTCTCAAATATCTGACGAAAATATTATAACATGGATATTTCTTGAAAGATGCCATAAACATTACTTTTTTAAATTCTTTTAAAGACATATCTAGACTTACACCTCTTTCAAGCTTGCCGCTAAAAATGATCCCAGCTTACTTTGTTTGTTTTGATTTCCAACAGGTCATCTATTTGCCTGTATCAAACAACAGTACAGTATTTTACAAAAAGTTTGCCGTTTATATCAATAATTTAACTTTTTATGATATAGCTCTCAAGACTGTTATTGCTTTATCTGGAAGGAGTGCAAAAGTGGTCAAGGTGGTTCTGAAATATCAATAACACTGTTTAGAATGTTTCTGAAATATGATGAAAGGAAGGCCCATAACTGCCAATTAATTTGCTGATGGTTGCAGGGGACAAAATCTGAATTTAAATTCTGAATCTTAAAAATATAAATTTCATCATGGCAGAAGCTCTCATATACATTGTTTCACAGTTGAAACACTTAAAGTGAATCTGTTTCTTTACCACTAATCATGGACAATGTAAAGGAGACTCCACTCAGTGCAATTTCACATGCAATTAAAAAGGCTAGTGAATTGTTTATGCCTTCTCAGTTTATACCAGTCTTTTGTTTTGCAAGAAATGCAAAGCCTTATAAAGTGCACTCTTTTTAAAAAATTTAGTGAGAACATTAG